GTGGGTTCTTTCGTGGGCTGAATAGTAAAACTACCTGAGTTTCTTACACTTCTCGTACCTACATCAATACATTAACAACTACGACAGTTTCCTTTCGACGTATATTACACTCGAGATTCGGTGACACATTAGGTGACGCACTACGGAGCTCCAACTCCGGCCCTGTAGCGTCGTCGTCGATTCACGCCCATGTCTCCCTCAACTCACTACACCTCTGCACCACACCGCACTATACGTGTACCACCGACACCACAACTGACCACTCAGCTACAGACGGACACTCACTCTGTGAGACGCTGCGCCGCAGCACCACACTGACACAACACTACCCCCAGCGTCAGCGTCATGTTCGAAACCGTTGCCGCCGCTACTGGTGTGTTCGCGTTTCCGCTGCCATTGCCGTTGCTGCTGGGGGCGCTCCCGCGGCCACCGCCGTTGCTTTTGGTGGCCTGGCGCGCTGTCCTATACCCTTCCCGGTCTCGGCTGTTCACCAGCCACTTTCCGATAGCGTTGGCGATGTCCTTTTCGGTGACCGACAAGGCCGGGTTCTGTTTGACTGCTCCTGCCGGGGAAAAAAAAGAACAAAACGCTTGTTACGAGGGAGCAAATCTTGCGTTTCTAGCTAGCGAAATGTAGGAAAAGGTATTGAGGAACAATTTATTACTCACAAAAGGAAGTGAAAACCATTTGTTCTGTGATAAAAGCGAAACTGGTGAGGCAAGGTAATTAAAAAAGAAAAAAGGAACAACACTGCCAAATTAATTGTTCATAAAATGAGCAGGACGATAGAAATTTGTTCAGAAAAAAAAACGGGTTACAAGATATGCTTACTGTAGACGACAGTGTAGAGCTTCGTTGTCATAAAGCCTGGCTTTTCGTGGCGCTTGACCCCATTCATGTTGAAGAGCTGCCCAAGGAGCTCTTTACCAGTTGGGCCATGACGCGGCGGATGCATTCACCGACAGTGCTGCTGCATTTGTCGCCCAGTACAGTTGCACCTGTGACTTGTATGACTGACGTATTGGTGGACTAACTTTACTGGCAGATGTTCACGTCGAACTCAGCTCTCTGTTGCAAGGTCGTCCGTTCAGCGAGCCATAGGAAACACATCCAACTGCTATCTGTCGGTGGAACATTTGTATTTCTTAGCTGTATTTACACTTTACTTCTACAGATTGCGCACTAGGCTCTCCACTGATGCACTCTGAAATTTCACTAGACCTTTCCCATAAATCTGTTCAGTGTTCACCCATTGAAAAGCGGTTACTTTTTTCCTATTCACCATGGCTTGGGCGAACTCCATCCGCATCTAGCTTCTCCTTGAGCCTCCTGAATCCCTCCATTGAGGTCAGAGGCAGAGCAGCTCCGCGCGGTAGCCTCCCCGCCGTGGCGTGGGCACTACCACTACTGCCGTTTAGTCTCCGCAAGATGTTGTGCAGCAGGGCGACGTGTATCTGCTGCGTTTCCCGGATCTCTTGCCGCTCTCTATGCGCCTCCAGCATTGTGAGAGACGCTCGACAGTCCTCGAACAGGCTGGTCTGAAACGACACGATAACAAGAACCACTGAACAAGTTGGCATAGGCGCCAAATGACCTCGCAGTCGGCGCGCCCCTAACCCCCAACAAACAACGAACAAGTTGGCAACCATCGGGCAAAAGTGGAAATCAATAACGCATAACAAGCTGTAAAACATTGAGCCTGGGCGCCGATGACCACTGTAGTCCGGGTGCCCCCCCCCCCAAAAAAAATCATCATCATCATCATCAAACATTGAGCCCTCAGCTATCTAGTAACAGCGACTTTGACCTGCCGTCGGCTGCGGCCGTTCCGACTGCCAAACTCCCTGTCGTCTTCACATGACTTTATATCAGAAAGTCGTTCAAGCAGTAAGCAATAAGCACTTTGATTCGGCAGCTGACCTATCAGCTTGGGCCAGCAGTACCCTGAGAGCGGTAGGGTCCAACGTCCGGCCATCGCCGTGGTCTCTCCGCGTCTGTCTCTAAGCTAAGCATTCGCGCACGTGCACTGCACGCGCTGCGCGCGCGCCGCCGGATGCTGGGGTCATTCACCCCGCAGCCACTCAGGCTCCTCGAGGTGGGAGATCGGATGCAGTGCACTTGCACTCTACATACTGTAGTGGTTTGCGCCCGAATCTCTAACAGCTATCTGGCTAGACACGTGTTCCCAACGCGAGTTGTTTATTCACACTCTCCGAAGACCAACTACAATATTGGCGCACTTGGCGAAAGCCCTAAAATGCTGCAATACAGTACACTGATCATTAGTTACCTTGAATAACATTTATGCCTTTGCTTGCGCACGTCGTAACTGACGTCCCTAGCCTTTTTAGTACGTTTGCGAGAAAGGCTTAAGGGTAAAAAGGTGACAGGAAGGCTTCTCTCCCCCTCCGCCCGACCACCGGCCCGTGCCGTGGGCTCAAGTGTTCCCGGGACCAGATGGAAGGGTCCGATCCGTCCAGATCAAGACGGCGGGAGGATGCGTGTATAGACGGCCTGTCGTCAAGATCGCGGTGCTGGATGAGAAGTGATCAAAACGCTGAAGAGTAGTCATGTACATATTTGTTGTGAATAGCAATGCAACCCTCAGAATGGATCAGCCCCCGGCTTGTTCATCATCAGACAAAGGATGCTGAGAAAAGTGTATTTATGTCAAAACCAAACGAAGCAGTAAGCACACATCTGACTTTAAGGAAGCAGGCACAACCTAAAGATCGGCCAAGAGCTGGCGGGCAGTGCGTCGACAGTGCCGATCGACCGTGCCAGCACTTAACGCGGTCAAGCACTGGCGCAGTATCATCTCTTCGACAGCAGGGTGTCGGGCTAGCTTACTCGCCATGGTAGTGATGCGGGACAGCTCCTCGTGCTGCTGAGAGGACAGCTTGGCGGCCTGCTCAAGCCGAGTCAGATAGCCCTCGTTGTCAGCGACCAGTTGGCGATGTTTCTACACTGCCACTCCCAGCTCGCGGGTCAGTCGGTCGACACGTCGGTGCAGCGCGGCTTCGCTCCGCTGAGCAGCGGCGAGCACGGCCTGAAGCTCAGAGAGCTGCACTTCTTGGCGCCGCTTCGCCTCTGCCAGCTCCCATCGCATGGTGGCTCTCCAGGCGTCAGCCTGGCCGGCTAACTGTTCCTGCAGGGATGCCACCTGAAGCTGCAGGTCACAGGCAGCCGACTCCAGCTGGCTGATCCTGCCGTGGGCATCAGCCACCGTGACCTCCAGCTCTCGGAGGCGTCGGGCGTCGCGTCGACGGCCAGCCGACAGCGCCTCCAGTGTCACCAGCCCTTTCTCAAGCAAGGGCACCGCCAGAGCCCTCAGGACGTCCGGAGGAGTGAAGAATGGGGGCGGCATAACCATTGCCGCCCGCGCGACCTCCAGCGGCCCGCCGCTCGAGCTGAGGCCGCGCGCCCACCGCACGTAGTCGGGCCCGTGGTCTCGGAGCAAGTGCGCGCTGATGTTCACGACCCTGCACACGAGAAACGGCAGGTCAGGCGACGTGGAATCAGAGACAGCTTTTGTCTAAAACATTTACAGGGGATGGAGTAGATTTTTTGTTTTGTTTTGTATGTAAATAGTACAGCGTCACTTACCGGGAGATTTCCTCGCTGCCGGTCGGCCGATCAGGATGGAATCGGGCCTGAAGTCGACGCTGGCGACCGGCGACGTCCACGGCAAACTGCGGGGTCCCCCGACGCCGGTCAGGTCCACCCCCAGATGTTTTTTTTTTGTGTGGAATAAGATGATTAATAAGATGATTGGTCAGCCAGCGGGGGAGGGGTAGGGGTGGAAGAGCAAAGGAAGAGGAACTTACCTATGCACAATCACAATGCCTACGCAGGCATGCTTCGCACAGACTTAATTTTGTGTGATGCATCCTTGCAGCGGTCTATATAAATCAACACCTGCATCATCAGACAAGATCACACAAATCATAAATCAAACATTTATTTACAACATCGCGATGCATCATTGCACAAACCACACGCCATGCCATCACGCCCAACATCATCTGTGCGTATTTACAGCTGATGATGTAGCTTCAGAACGTTTTGGCATATGTGCGTCTTCACGCCGCCCAGCCGTCTCCTTACGAATGGCGTGGAGTTGTAGCCGAATGAACAGTTGCACCAGGAAGTGAAGGGGACTATCATCTGCAGTGCACAGAGAGCTCTGCAGGCGCTGATGGTACAAATATGATGTGAGACTATCCTGGACATAGCGTTTGGCTGAAACAACACCGCAGGTGCCATTGGATTGTGTTGCACGAAACGTCCAATCCCCGACATCATAGAAAGCCTGGATGGACTTGTTTAGTCCACCAACATCTGCGTCGGTCAGTCCGGTATACGATCTTTGGCCAAAAAGAATCTCACGCTCGTACACAGGGGAACATGGCAGGGGTCCCCTCCCCACTCCAACAGTCCCAGATGGCCAGAACACCGGCTATTGTTAGCCGTAGGCCCTGCACTGAAGGGACTTGGACACTCCATTTCCCAAGCCAGGCTGCTAACTTTTCCAGACAGTGTCGTCGGGCTGAGACGTTTTCTCCTGAGATGGCCCTCTTCAGAGGATTGGCGCTGTACAGCCTGCATGTGTTGAGCACGTCCAGAGAGTCGTTCAGAAGCAGCGCGAACTCAGCAGTATCTTCTGCAATCTTCGGCAGGCACCCTTGAAAACTAAAAGAACAATCACACACTTTTACACGTTAGTCACACGTTCACTCATGAGACGGCCGCGGAGGTCCACCAGCTCGCCGCCACCCTCGGCCTGCTCAGCCTCCGTGCCGTCCACTGGGGGCGGTGCTCCGGCTGCGTCGTTACGGCGTAGGAAATTGTGCAGCACATAGATGGTATAGACCAGCTGACAAGCGTGGTCCACGGAGACGCTGGGCGGCCGTCTCAGCAGTCGCCAAATCTGGGTCATGATGCCGAAGGCATTCTCCACCACGCGTCGTGCCCGGGACCGGTGGTAGTTGAAGACCGATTCAAGGCACCAGCCGGCCGAGTCTGGCCTCGGTGCGGCCCGGGTACGGCCGCATGATGTTGGCGGTGAGAGGGAACAACGCCTCGTCCGCCACAAACACAGGTGGCAGCTTCACCTCCGTGCCCGGGAGCGGCTTGGCTGTTGGCAGGCCGAGCGTCCCGTCCCTCAGCTTCTCAGCCAGGTCGCTGCGGCCGAAAATGCCGCCGTCGGACTCTCTCCCAGCGCTCCCCACCGACACGTAGACGAAGCGGTAGTTACCGTCGACGGCAGCCAGAAATACGGGGCTAAAGTTTTTCTTGTAGTTGAAGTACATGCTGCCGGGGTTTGCTGGTGCCTGGATTAGGACGTGTTTTCCATCGATGGCCGCCACGCAGTTGGGGAAGTCCCACAGCTGCTTGAAGGCCGCTTCGCTCCGCCACCAGGTGGCCTCGGTCGGGGCCGGCAGCACCTCCGGGCCGAGGACAGCCACGATGGCGGCACACGTGTCCCACACGATGGTTCGCACCGTCCGTTCGCCGAGTCGGTAGGTGGGCGCCATCGCGGCGAACTCCATCCCTGAGGCGAGGTACCGGAGGGTGACGGCCAGACGCTGAGCCGGCTCGATGGGCTCTCGAAAGTGTGTGTGCTGGCGGGTGATCATCGGTCCGATTTTAGACAAGATCAGGTCAAACGAGTCGCGGCTCATCCGGAAATAGGTCTGGTGCCTATCCGGGTCCAGGAGTCGCAGCTCCTGCACGAGGTGGTAAAACTCACCCCGAGCTTTACGCCGCTGTTGAACCTCGGTGACCCATACTCGCCGACGTGGCCGCCGACGAGCGTGCTCCACAGCCACACGGAGCCGCGCCTGAGCCAGGCCGACACGTACATCCATGGTTACATTTATCGACAATATATACAGAACACTCGGAACAATAAACGGTATGAAATACAATAAGAACAATAAACACGAAACGAACGTAGCCTATGTCTATACAACTTAAACGAAAAGGAAGAAAGCAGCGTAGGTGTAGTCAAGGGCGGATCCAGGGGCATCTCAAAGGGGGGGCCAAATGCCCATCATGTTTTTCGCTAGGATAGGGCCCGCAGAACCTAACCTACCCCCAAATCCTATTTTCTCCCCGGATTTCGGCCACTTTATTTTGTAAGGTTGCAATTTTGCCAAAAAAAAATCAAATAAAATAAAAAATCAAAAAAAAAATCACGTACTTCGGCGGTAGGGGGGGGGGGTTAATAGGCCCCAATTTGGCTGCGCCCTTGCAAATGGCAATCCGTAGTGGCAACCTATACCCTGCTAAAGCGCCTTTCTAAGGAGAGGGGTTAACGCCTGACTATTTTTTGCTAGGCCTAGGCCAATTGAAGGGGAACTGCAAGGTGGGCTTATACATGCAGCGATATCCGAACAACAAATAAGGAGGCAGAAAACCTAAATTATTACTTGGGAGTAGTCAAAATGTCATTGAGAAAGCCGGCCGTGATGGGGTACATTTTCCGCATCCTGCTCTGCATGCAAAAGCAGATGGACGTGAATGATGCTTAAAGTGATAGCGTGTATTTATTAGTAGAAGCTTGGGTGCCTATGGGACAAAAATAACTTTGGTAATAAACATGTAATTGTGGTAAAATGTTGATAGCATGAATCCCTCAGCACAGGATATGTTTAGCCAGATATGAATCTATGAATCGGTCTTATGGTTGGATTTTCAACCCGGAATGGCATTTGACATAATGACATTAGCGGTTTAGGGCACAAATGGCTCACAAGTAAGCTCACAAAATGATGCATGATGAAGAACTTGTTATTCAAGCCAAGCTGTTTTTGTGCAATACGCGTATGATTTATATCACATGTGTTTCCTGAAATCAGGTGATTTCATCGCGTTTATGCTAGCTGTCCTGTTCACAGAGATCAGCACAATCAGCCTATCAGTTAATACGCGGTCATCCTATCTGTCAGACATCTGATAGTGATGACAGTTGACACGTCTGGCGCAGAACCGAATGTATATTATGTATGTACATACATATATGGTCAGCCTTTCAATATCACATCGCACAGGATGAGGATAACATTGAGCAGTCGAGGATCACATCGCGCAGGGTCAGGGCCACATCGCGCAGGATCAGGATCGCGTCGCGCTACAGGCGCAATCGGAACTCCCGACGGCGACAGGCAGACGCAGCGAAGCGGTTGATGACCTCGCTGGTCGCCGGCATGTGGTCCCGATGTACCTGAAGCAGAACGAGCGCCTCGAGCCGACCCTCGGTCATGGTCGTTTTGAGCGCTGTCAGTGTCCTAGCTACCTTGGAAAACACGCGCTCGGCTTCTGCGGTTGTTACTGGTAGCACGCTGAGTACCTTTAGAAGCATATGTACGTTTGGAAAGATTTCAGCCGGGCACGCGTTGAGGGAACTGATAGCAGTCGTCGGAACTTCTTCCTTGGGTTTATCACGCCACATGGCTTTCCACACGCTGAACTCGGCTTTCACCTGCGAGTCAGTTACTGATCCTAGGAGACCTTTAAACTGCTCGTAGGCTGGCTCCACGTCAGACCACTCCGTAGAAACTGTTTTCTTTGGCAGGAGTTTGCTGAGGCTCGCGGTCAGCTGCGTGTGCTTGCCGAAGCGCAGGTTGATGTCTTGCAGGACGAGATCCACGGCAGGATTGAAGACCGTGATCTGGTAGTAGGCTTCTGTGGAGAGATCCCTGCCTGCATTTCCCCGGTAGACGGACTTTTCTGGCAGACGCGGCTTCCTCACCTCTACACTCAGCTTCTCTGCAGCGCATTCCACCGTCCGCATCAACACAGCGAATTCCTTTTCACTGGAGGCTCTCTGCTCCGTCAGCACGGACTTCACCGCATCTACCAACTGTAGGGCTTTAGTGAGGTCCAGCTGCTTATCCTGAAGTGCCAGAGCCAATGGCCGAAGGATGCCGGCCAACCGTTCAACTACGACCAGACCTACCAGGAATTCGGTCCTCGAGATGGCACTCAGAAGCGCCGTGGCCTTCGAACTGGAGCGCCGATCTTGCCACGTGGCGATCTGCTCCAGTGCCAGGTGGATAGCGCTGAGCTGTTCCAAGAAACGCTCCACAGCGAGATGCCTTTCGACAAACCGTGTTTGGCACAGTTTGATCAGCTTGAGCCTCTTATCGCCGTCCATCTTTGATGACTGTGCGTAGCGCAGGATTTCGCCCCGCTTTGCACCATCTGTTAGAAAAACGACGACAGTCTCCATTGTCCCCAAGGCATTTCTTACCAAATCCACTTTGTTGATGAGTGACGTCGATAGATTCAATGCATGAGACGCACAGTGGAAATACTCTGCCAGTGGTGCGGCTTCCTTCACTTGTGCCACCACGCCCACCCGCTCACTCGACATAGCAGCCGCGCCGTCGTAGCATTGGGCTACAAGGCGAGAAGTGTCCAGGCCCAGCTTGCGGATACTGCCTAGCAGCGCTTCTGCGAGGTTCTTCCCCGACATCTTCAGCTCTGGGCCGTTCGCGGACCGCCGAATGACGTCCATCACATCCAGAAGAGCGACAGGGTCTTCCCGAATTACGAGTTGGCCACTCTCATTTTCGTCTACATATCGAGCCACCACAGCCATCTGCTCTCTGTTTGAAATGTCTGTAGTGTCATCAGCCATCAACGCCCATACTTGAGCCTTTTGCACCTTGTTTGTCACACGTTCCTGCACCAAAGTCCTGAGGACGTCGAGGAGCTCATTCTGGACTGTTTTGCTCGTTTAAAGCGCGTTACCAGAACCATCTTGCAGGTGCCTTTTCAGTACTTCGTCGCCACTCTGAAGCCTAAATCGGAGCAGCCCTTTAAAGTTTCCATCGTTTTCGGCTGGCTGAGTACCACTCCCATCAATTCGCCCATCGTCACGGTGGCCTCGCAGTGATATGTTTTGCGTCACAGCAAACTTGAGCGTTTCGATGATTGACGTCAGTACTGCCCTGTTACGCCTGACCTCGCGCTCGCTCGCTGTGTCCATCACTGCATCGATGCTTTTCTTTGGATCCTTCATTGCGATCGTAAAGCTGGCAGCCTTTGCAGCATTGGCCTGGTGGGATGCTGACTGGGCATGCGAATCCAGAGCACCATTCTTGCCGGTCAAGTCAGAAAAGTCGACAAGGGGGCGGCTCACCAGCTTGCCTTTCGACCTGCCTTTACCTCCACGTGCACCTTCGCCTTCATCAAGAGTTTCGCCAAAAAGCACACAAACACTACACCATGCACCAGATAAGTTCCCCTTTCTGGATACAGCCAGCCACTTGTATGTATCCAAGTGATGCCGGAGAAGATACCTCGGCCGGGACACCCCATTCTTTGTGTGATACGAAACAGGGAACTGACTTTTCTCGGAGGGACACCATCGTTTGGTCAGTCCTTCTAGCTTTTCTTCATCGCTGGTTTTCTTTGCGATAAAAAAACCGAAGTCATTCGGAGGCAGAACAGGCCTATCATCTGGGATTCCAACAATGTCCTCTGAATCGCCACCACTCTGGTCTGGAGAGCCTGCTGACTGATTTTCAGATGGCGTGAAGGATGAGGTTCCAGGGCCAGGACCCGTCACAGGAGACTCCAGGGCCAAGGGGCGATCCTCCTCTGAAGAGACAAGCAAGGGGATATAGGATTACTATCCGGTCGCTAAACGGTCAGGTTGGACTCTGCTGGTTGGACTCTGAAAATTACTTTATCAATTAGGCAAGCATATTAGGAAAAAAGCTGCCGATTGTCGGCGCTGGCATCTTTGGTAGGTACCTAAGAAGTCGGAATACCACCAAGCTCGTTTGCAAAATATTAAAGAAATGTTATTTGCATAAAAATAAAACAAGAAAATGCAACGTTTCTAGTTCATTCACTCAAAAACCGTTTGTCAAAGTCATGTTACCATTACAACCAGTGGGTGTTTCGGACCGCCAGCTAATGTCCGATAAAAAAGTAAAAACAATCTAGGTATATGTAGTAGTCTGTTTAGACTAAAGCAAGGTTACCGACAGAAGGTTAAGAAGACGGCATAGGTAACACGACGGTGACGCCCGTACAATCAGCTTACGCTCTATGATAATATGATAATTGGGGCTTAGGGGCGCGCCGACTACAATGGTCAAATGACGCTCATATTAGCTTCTGCTCTAGCATGCGCCATTGATAGTTCAAACCAATCTTAGCCAGAATTCACAAAGCTAGTATAACTATTCTATTTTTAGATACTATTTGTGACTGCCGGCGAGCGGTGCGCGTTGTGCCGCTGAGCCGTGTCAGCACTCGTCGCTGTAGAGGTCGCCGCGAGCGCTGCGAGCCTCGTCGACCAGTGGGTAGGATAGGTGGCGGTAGCGGTCGGTGCGCAGACTACAATGCACCGACACGTTATAGACCGATCGAAAAGTCTTGACTGTGCTATGACTGTGGCAAAGGGACCGACCGAACAAAACAAATCAAGCAAACCATAAGAATGTGGCAATGGGTAGCTCGATTCGGGCGGCGGCGTGGCCAGGCGACCCCGTGACCTCTGGCCGTGTCCTTCTGTGTGCGCGGCCCATTCGCCCCTGACTTGGGATGTCGATAGGTAAGTGGCTGCCGGTGCCCTTAAAATCATGCGTGTTTTAGAAATAAATGAAAGTGATATAAGTGTTGGGAAAAGGTATAATTTTTTTCTGATGATATTACTGCATGCTCTGGCAGTATATATTGATTAAATCTTGTTTGCTTTCAGATTCAGGCACAATAATACAACAGCACAGGTGCAAAAGGCGGTTTAGAGGTAGAACAATAGCTGTCATTACACTATTCACATAGCAGAGGGATATACATGTAATACTCACATTTTTAATACAAGAATTCATTAAACTATAACTGAACACAATATGCCTGAATGAACTGCAACATAAGCTACTGTACCTGCATAGGCTCCTGCTGTTGCTGTGGGCATCTCTGGTCCAGGAGTAGGAGAAGGGGTGCTCGGAGGATCACAGGCTGGGACAGATGGCTGTGGATCCAGGCTGAAAAAGTCGGTGTGTGGAATTCAGAACAATGCAGATGTAGTGATCCATTATCCATATATGCCAGCACTCAGCAGCCAAGGTAGTATTAGTTGATACTAACACAAAGGTGGATTTAATTGCTTTAAAATGCTCATTTAAATAAAGCAGCACCAAAATTAGACACCTATCTAAGAGGCTGAGACTAAAACACTGACCAAAATGTATTATACAATACAATTCCAATTAAACATTGTTGTAAATTACCACACATGTCAAATATATGCATCCAGAATGGCTTCCATTACATTTTCAAATACTTTTTTACTTGCCTGTTTCTGTTTTTACTTTTCTTTGAGAAAAAGTCCATCATGGACTTTTGCACAGGTGGTCCTCGTCTTTTCATCATGGATGGCTTATCCTGGAAAATGGTTTGGTGGGTCCTTAAAATGTGCCTAAAGCAAGTTGTTATTTACTTATTTTCTGGTCTATCTTTTCATCTTTCTTCTAGGTTAAGTTGCAGATAACTTTTCACTCCTTTGCAGGCACTGACTTTGCACTGTAGGTAATTCTCATTGCTATTTGAGAAAATTTGCACTAATACTCCTAAAACCCAGAGAAACATTGGAAAATATATGCGCACAACAGCCTTGGTGGTGTCCCAAAATTGGCTTCAGCATAAATGTCAACAGAGCAAAATTGGATCTTAAAATCCAATGTGAGTGTGGAAAGTTTAAGCCAAGAAGGCATGGGCTAAAATATGAGTTGCAAACCTACCACACCTCGATTAGTGATTACCTACCCGACTCCACGCACAACCGGTATATAAGGTATATAGGACTTTGCACACAACAACGCGGCAGTGTATACGATATTAGAGCGAAAAAGTGCGGCGATCGCGGCGATACGGCGTGTAAACAAACGTGCATTTCAAGGTTTTGGTTATAATGGGAATGAAGTATGGTAGCATCATGATACCATAGTAGCTCAGGCATATCCATGGCTCATGAAGTTTTCCTTCAATAATTCCGATTTGGGGTTTTAAGATGGTACAACACGGCCGGGCCATTGTCATATTTGGACAAAAATAGAGATGTTTGGCCTTGGCGTAGATAAGAAAGTGAAAATGATCGTGAATACATGAGTCGGCTCTGAAAAAGAACACGGATGAAAGGGGGGGCCAAAAGATATGTTGGCCCCCCCTTTCAGCGTCAAAGGGGGGGCCATGGCCCCGTTGGCCCCCCCCCCCCTGGATCCGCCCTTGGGTGTAGTGGCGCGCGTAAAATTCCTGATTTTTAACTTTAATAGCTTTCTTCATTCTTAACTAAAATGTACGATATTTTCACACAAGGTAGGCACACATTTGGGATTGTAGGTATTCGTCCAGGTTCAATTCACATTCAGCTTAGTTGTGCATTTCGACGTGATCCATATCGTTTCCCGTTCAATTTCAGTCCATTTGTACGCGACGTGACCCCATTGCTTCCCATTCACTTTTAGCTTAGTTGTGGAATACCGGTTTTTCTATCCACTTTTTGCTCAATTGTGCACCTCGCCGTGACCCCCATCGTTTTCGATCACTTTTCGAGGTGCTTGCGGTATGCTGGGGCGGACTTCTCGCAAAAGTGAATGAAAACGAATGGGAAACGAATCTGAAAGTGAATGGGAAACGTCGATGCTCACCTTGATGTGCACAACTGAGCTGAAAATGAATGGATTCGTCTGAAACTTGGACGAATAAAATCCCAAGGCGTCCTACATTGTGCCAAAATATCATGCGATTCAGTAAAGAACGAAGGAAGTTATTAAAGTTTCAAAGCGCGGATCTTACGTGCGTCACTCTGTATATAGAAAGTTCTGGAAAGTCGACAGATAGTGTTTTGTTTGCTGTGGCAAAAAGCAATATGAATACACACAACACACAGCTGCCGCATCTGGTCATTCTGCTGGTCAGTTTGCCTTTCAGTGCCTGTTGGTATCCCCGCAGGGGGTTGGCAGCGGCCTGGGTTGCTGTTGGACTGGGTTCCTTGGGCCCTTGCCCCGCGGCGGCCCTGGCCTCGGCCAGCAAGGGGAGTAGCGCCCCCTCGGCCCCAGCTTGACCCATGCTTGCTTGCGACTTGCTTTGATTGCTGGATGGACAGATGGTACGGTCCGACTTTTCTTGGTTTCCGTGGTTTTGTTTCTCTTGAGCACCTTTTGTTTGCTTTTGCTTTGCTTCTCACCGGATGTCCGCGTTTCGTTCGATCACAGCTTTCTGATTTCTTCCCCCTTTTTCGTTGTTTTTTGCACCCGCAGGAACACAGCCGAGTTGGGCTAGTGTAAGGGGAGTGGCGTCCCCTCGGGTACCAGCCGGTTTTACTAGGCTAGGCGAGCCGACCCGTACCCCAGGACAACGGGATCCTGGAGGTTGAGCCCCCCACCGTGCGGAGCCAGTCGCGGTGGCTGGGCAACACGCCTCTTTGGCCCTGAGTTCTGTAAGGGCGGGACACTCAGTGGGGCGCCGCACTTGAGGAGCCATTCCCAGTCGTGACGCCGCCGGGGGTGGTGTCGGAGAGGTGTCGCCGGCGGGGTTCGGGCACTTGTGCTCGTCCTCCGTCGGTGGGACTGATCTGTCGCTGCCCCTGGCGGTGACTCGGCTAGGCGTCAAGGGAGGAGGCGGTATCCGACCGTGGGGGGTGGTGAGTCTCTCTCTCCCCCGCGGAAGGTGCCGCCAAGTCCCGTACAGTCAGCTCGGCCGTCCTAGGCCTTGTAGCGGCGCCGTTGCGGAGCGTCGGCGGCCGAGCTGGCGGAGACCAACTCTTTCACATGGATAACTTGACCGATCCCCCTTCCCCCCAGTCCAATCCCTCGGCCTCGGCCGATCCTCGCCCGTTGGCCTCGGCCGACAGGCGAACGGTGCTCGACAAAGGTCCACGATCTCCTAAGATCCTTATCTTCCGGAGCGCAGACAGGGAGCTGAGCTCTCTGTCGCCCTTCCAGCGGAAAGATGGCTGCGACCGGTTTGGTTCAATCGCTCGTTGTGACCGGATGCGTGATGGCGCGCTGGAGGTCGAGTTCAGGAAAAGCGAGGAGGCGGCGAAAGCGTTGGACGCTACTCGCTTCGTGTTCTCCGAGGGACGGGCATCCGGCCGGAGGCTCGTCTCCATCCCGCTTACAGTGGAACCTCACCGATCTAAGAACTCCTCACGAGGGGTCATTAACTGTTTCGATCTGAGGGGAGTGAGCGACGAGGACATTGCGGACGGGCTCGCCGATTTCGGCGTGACAGCGGCTCGCCGCATCATGACGAAGAGAGGCACGGTCTCGACCAACAACATCATCCTGACGTTTGACTCGACTGACTTGCCGAGTGAGATTCGTGTGGGCTACGTGAAGGTTCGCGTGCGGCCTTTCGTCCCAGCGCCCATGCGCTGCTTCCGCTGCCAACGTTTCGGCCACACAAAGGACAACTGCCGAGGAAGACCCACGTGCTCCAAGTGTGCTTCGCAGGACCACACTGACGAAACCTGTGACTCGGAGACCCCCCGATGCGTCAACTGCGGAGAGGGGCAGACGCCGCACTCCGCGTATGATAGGTCTTGCCCTGCATACGTCAAGGAGAAAGAGATCATGACCATCAAGGCTACCAGAAATTTGTCTTTCAAAGAGGCCCGGGAGGTGTACAACCAGAGTCACCCGAAGACCTCGTATGCCCAGAAGGTGAGAGTCACAAACTCTACCGATGCCTCCCAGATGAGTGTAGCACAGCTCGTGCAGCTTCTCAAACGATTCGGCCTCACCGTCGTAGCCACTGGTGACTCAGCGGACACCACGGCGCCTCGTGCGCCGCCGAGCAACACAGAGCAGGCTGCTCTAGAGTCAGTGTGGGGTCCACCCAGTCCCGCTCCAGCCGCGAACGGTGATGGAGACGGCTGGGCCGTCGTCCAGCGCCGACAGGGTGGTCGGCGCCCCCCGGCGCAGGGTAAGGCGCCACCCACCCCGCCCCGCCCCCGACCGCCCACGGCGGTGCAGGAGGCGCTGCGGCGGGGGGAGGAGGAGAGGAAGGCACGCGAGGCGAGGAGGGCTCGCCTCGTCCAGAAGGCCCTCGAGGCTAAGGAAGCCTCGTCTGCCGACTCCGCCTCCGGGAGTGCCAAAGCGGCTGTTGCCGCTGACACCCCGGAGACACCCGAGGCGGGGACTCGGCCCATCATGGGTCCCCCGCCGCCTCCTCCACCTCCGCAGCGGCGGCCACCACCGCCGCTGCCAGAGACGCCTGTGTCGAGGACACAGGCCGCCGCCTCGACATCCCCGTCGGGGCGGCAACAGACCTCCGCGGCTCCAGGGCGCCTCGCCAAGCGGCAGACGCCCCCGAGCTGGTCACCCTCGGAGGGTGACGCCCCCCGGGCGAAAAAGCCCCAGCAGGGCTCGAGCCACGCCCGATCTGCCTCTGCTGAAGGGAGGCTACACCGAGAGGGCTCGGGGCATCCCCGTATCCGTTACGGGGGGAGCGCCTCCTCGGAGTTAGAGGACCTAGTCTAGTCTTTCAGTCTAGTCATTTCCTCTTTTATCCTTTTATCTTTTTCGCGCTATTGCGCTTTTTTACCTGGTGCATTTCTCTCGGTGCTTTTTACCTTTTTTGTGGTCAGTCAGGTATCTGTGTGCGCCTTTGCCTCATGTTATACGCGCCCTTTTTGCGCCTTTTTAACCACGCCTTTTATTCTACAGTGGAACTGTAGAGGCCTCCGGGCCAACTACCAGGACCTACAGTCTCTTATCCGTTGGCGCACACCCCTTATTTTAGGTCTCCAGGAGACCAAGCTAGCGCCAAACGTTACCTTTGCCATCAAGGGCTACTCTGTTTTTAGAAGAGACCTGGACACCCCTACCATTGCCCATGGAGGTGTGCTTCTGGCGGTTCACCACAGCGTACCTGCTCGCCAGGTGCCGCTGCAGACTCCCCTGCAGGCGGTGGCCGCCAGAGTTGATTTCAACCACCGGGAACTGACAGTGTGCTCTTTATACCTACCACCAGGTATAGCGCTCCCGGTGGTTGAGCTGCATCGACTTGTCGATGAGCTTCCACCTCCGGTCCTGGTAGTCGGCGATTTTAATGCCCATAGCCTGGCGTGGGGATGCGACACGACTGGCACTCGTGGTCGACTTTTAGAATCTTTTATCCGCGATGAGGCGCTGTGTATTTTAAATACAGGACAGCGCACCCATTTTACAACACCCTCCGGTCAAACATCGGCTCTGGACCTGAGCTTAGTCAGTCCGCGGCTAGCTCAGCTTTTTACCTGGTCCGTCCATGACGACCCACTCGGGAGCGACCACTTCCCAGTGTGGCTGGAGCACCAGGAGTCCCCAGTGTCAGGCAACCGTCCACCTAGGTGGAATGTTCGGAAGGCCGACTGGGGCGAATTCCAGGCCGCCGTAGAGGCCACGGTCTTATCCAGAGCCGACGCCTCTGTGATGTCTACAGATGATTTTACATGTTTACTCATTGACTCCGCAAACGGGTGCATACCCAAGACGTCGAGTCAGCCTCGTCGTCCTCCGGTCCCGTGGTGGACCAAGGAATGCGGAGATGCGATTCGTGCCAGGAAGCGCGCTTTTAGAAAGTTTGACCGGAGTAGTACTACTGAGAACCTCATCGCT